TAACCATGATTGCAGAGCGATTGGGCATCGATCTTAGAGCATATGCGCATGACTTCATCCACGGGGACAAGATCAACTATATGCATCTCTTGGAGAACAATTTTGTCAAGGAACAAAACGGGGACATATTATGGAGGTTCGTGGACGTCGAGAGCAGGTATCGATCATTCGACATGGCCTATTATGTGCTACCCCCTCTCACCGAAGAAGGAATCCATTTTGAGGTCTCATCAGACCTTGGCACAGACTCCGGACAAGAATCATCATCCCACGGGTCCTGTTAAGGGCCTGCCGCTCGGTCCCCTCTCTTAAATCTCACTCCTTTGCATTCATTTTAGCTAACATCACATAGAATTGTAGTTCGCTCACACTGCATAGGTTTCACGGGCTTACGACATCCGCAAAAGAGAAATTGGAATGCAACTCCACCTCATCGGAAAAGGTAACACACCCACCCCTTTCATTCCATTCCTTATTTCTCCTTTGGAATCCCTCCACTAGCCGAGAGTCAACACTGTGGACGGTGTTTGATTCAAGTCTGGGGGGGGAATGCACTAACGCACATCGTACCCATGAACCCTACACATCATGCATCATTTGCACTTAGAATCATGCATTCCCTAATTCAAAAAAAAAAAAAAGTCTTGCATTTTGTACATACTTGCATAGATCATCATCAATAGGCTGCACATGTACATATAGTTCTAGGAATGCTTGCATACACTTGCATAAGGTTTTTCCTCTCAAAGATTTGGCCGGATGATGATGCGGGGAGAACATAGAGTGAGGATTGGCTTGGAAAGGTTTTAGGAGCTAATTTTAGATTGATCTAAAGAGTTGAATGGATTGTCGAGCGAGGTAGAAATAGTTGATCCAATCCTAGAGCGAATGAATATCACGTGGGATGATTTTGTCTCCTAAAGTCTAGATGGGGTAGAGGTTACGAACAAAGCACGAAACGTCTCCCTAAAAACCATCATTTGACCTCTAAGTTAGGAAGCCTATAGGAAGCAACAAGCCCTAGGAAATACGATGCATCCCGACACTCCTCTGTCATCATCTCGTTAATGAAAATCATTCGGGGACATGAGTGCGTCGAAAATGAAGGCTCGGGACTAAGTTGTGGGACAAGAACACAAAAAGAAAAAAAAGAGAGTGAACTCGTCAAATTCCAACGTCCTAGAAGCCCGGGATTGCATCATATAAAAAAAAGGGAGAGAAAAGGGAAAGAAAGAAAAAGAAGAAGAAAACAAAAATCCGAAAAAAAAGAAAGGAAAGAAATGGGGCAAGAGAAAACATTTTATAGGCTAAGTGACTTTTAGGGTTCTCATTTGGGATGTGTTTAGGAGACATGCTTGACAAGTAGGAACTATTTCATCCTAGACCGCAGGAAGCAATGAAAATCCCATTGATAAGATTTCGCTCGAGTATTGGAAAAGATAGAGTATACCAAACCCAATTTCATTCGCAACGACTTTAACCCGTACAACCAATCCACTCAAAACCCCCATTTGTTATCCGACTGTATCTTATCACCCCTTGGATAGTTTTATAATTGCACATTTACTCGAGGACGAGCAAACCTCAAGTCTGGGGGGATTTGATCACACGGGTTTTTCACCGGTTTTATAACGTCGTGCATCACAATTCTTCTCACATTCTAGGCATCATAGGACGTTAGATGGCCATGGGTAGGTTGTTTTGCTTGTTTTTCCTTGCAGGAAGACTCCACGATGAATCCTCACGAAGCGGGCACGGAAGAACAAGAATTCGAGAATGCTCGCCCGAAAAATGAGCGACCGGAGGTCGCCCGTTTTGTGAGCGGTCGCCCATTTTATGGGCGGTCGCCCGTTTTGTGAGCGGTCGCCCATTTTATGGGCGGTCGCCCGTTTTGTGAGCGGTCGCCCATTTTATGGGCGGTCGCCCGTTTTGTGGGCGGTCGCCCATTTTATGGGCGGTCGCCCGTTTTATGAGCGGTCGCTCACTTTTTTGCGTGTCAGAGGAAAATGAGCGACCCGCCCGAAAAATGAGCGACCGGAAGAAAAAGGAGCGACCCGCCTGAAAAATGAGCGACCGCCCGAAATCAAAATTGGCCCAAAAAGGAAAAGCCCGTGTTTTGAGAAAAAACCTAATTCTGAACTTTGACAAAAAGGGGAGTTTGAGGAGAGAGAAGGGGGGCTAAACACTTGGAAAAAAAATCACCTTGGAGAGGAAGAAAGGAGGGATTTTGGAGATCAAGGAGGCTAGGAGAAGAAGAGGACCACCATTGAAGACCATCTTGAGCATTTCTTCTCCTTTTCCATGTTTCTTCATTTTTCTTTCTGTTTTGAAACCCTAGTTATGGAGTAGTGACTTTGTTGTAGGTGAGGGATCCCCACTTTTGTATGGACACCTATGCTTATCTATGATGCTTTTGAGTTTTCTTCCATTGGTTTGATGTTTTGTGCTTAATGCTATTGATTTGGTTGAAACCCTAATTGATATGACTGTAGAACACATTGATCATAGGAATATGGGAATGATGTTTGGAACCAAATGTCAAATGAGTGAGTTATTCACATTGGGAGATGGCTTAGCTTGCTTAGGGTTCATGATGGGGTACATTAATGCATCTAGAGATCATTTGGATCATTGGGAAATGGGTGAATCGATTCTCTAGGTAGTGAGTTTAAGCTTGGGAGAGACAAGCTCTAGAGAAAGTGCTTGAAACCCCCAATTGGAAGATAAACCCATAGGTATTGTAGCATCACTAACCGTCCATGCGAATCTTGAGGGATCCCGAACTTACAACGCCTTAAATCATCATTTTATAAACCGTTAATTTTACTTGCTTTCTTGTATTCCGACACCTAATACAAACCACACCTTTATTTGACCACCTAATCTAGCTTAGAGATAGACTAATACATCCTAGTGATCGCACGAATCTTGTCGTATTAACTTGCATATAATTATCATGTTATTCTCATGCTTTCATATTTAGATTAGGAATATTTTGGTTTGTTTTTGGTGTGTTTCATATTTTGTAGGTGACAAAAATTATTTTGGAAACATTTGGCAAAAATGGAACAAAAATGGAGCAAACTCGGATTTTTTTTTCAGGTAAGCCATGATGTCAGCAACCAGAATTTGCTCAGATTGTAACTGCTCGATGAAGGGCCAAATCTCCACCACTGAAAAAAAAATCCGAGTTTGCTCCATTTTTGTTCCATTTTTGCCAAATGTTTCCAAAATAATTTTTGTCACCTACAAAATATGAAACACACCAAAAACAAACCAAAATATTCCTAATCTAAATATGAAAGCATGAGAATAACATGATAATTATATGCAAGTTAATACGACAAGATTCGTGCGATCAAAATGATCTTGAATTCTCTAGGAACATTGATTAAACATGAACTTGTAATGCTCTTAGAACTTATATTTCATCATTGAGAAATGAGAAAATTTGAAGTATCTAAGTAAGAAGATTTGATCTTTTGAGAGAAAGATGATCTTGGATTAGAGTTTAAAGTTCCACCATGAATGCATATAAATCACATAATCATATTCTTAGTGCTTGTTCATCGAATTAAGTTCATACCGATTCCCATAACGTCTTTTGATATTGAATCCAACTTTGTTTTTCCCATCCTCTTTGATAATCAAAAGTTTGAATCTTGATTTAGTTCACTAGATTTTTAGAAATATTGTTAGAAACAAAATTCCATTCCCTTGGGACGAACCTTAAGTACCATCGATATAACCGTGCACTTGCGGTTGTGTGTGCTTAAGTGACTTATAAATATTAAAGCTTGATCAAACTACGCACACTACTTAGCACGCATCAAGTTTTTGGCGCCGTTGCCGGGGAACTCGTGAAAATTGTTTTTGACGATAACTCTTTTAGTCTTGTGAACTTTCACCACGCCTTAAGTAAATCCATCTTTTTGTAATCTTGATAAATTTGTTCATTTCGTCTTTCTTGTTTATAATCCATTTTCCTTTTTATATTTGTATTTCTAGTATACTTTTGAAATTTTTTTTTGAATATTACAGGATGTTCGGTGCATGACCCGAAGTAGTGGAAGTGACAACTTGCAACCATACGACCCCGAAATTGAAAGAACGTATATCACTCGAAGAAGACAAACAAAAATGGCGGGCGTCAATAATCAACCACCACGACTTCCACCACCCCCTCAAGCACCAGAACCAGCCTTACGACGGGAGCCACGAGCTGAGACGTACGGTGACTACAACTCACCCAAACCCACAGAATTCCTGTCATGCATCCGAAGGCCACCGATCAATCGAACAAACTTTGAGCTCAAACCAGCATTTATTCAAATGCTCGCAAGCAAAACTTTCGGAGGATGGCCTCATGAAGATCCCAATGTTCACCTCGCAACATTCAAGAAAATGTGCAAATCAATGATTGTCGAAGGCGTATCTGAAGAGGCAATCTTTTTATGGGCGTTCCCATACTCCCTGGGCGATAAAGCGGAACAATGGTTATTCAACTTAAAACCTGATTCCATCCATACATGGGAACAAATGGAGCACAAGTTCTTAGAGGAGTACTTTCCGCCTCACAAGACGGCCAATTTCAAGCTGAAAATAAATAATTTTGTTCAAGAGAACGGCGAAAGTCTTTACGACGCTTGGCAAAGGTTCAAAGGTTACCAACGAGCGTGCCCACATCATGGCATGGATCGAAGGCACCTAATCTCAACCTTCGTTGAAGGGTTAAGGAAAGACATAAGACGTTGGATAAATGCCGCTGCTGGAGGTTCTATCCGCAACCTCACTTTTGAGCATCTCGAGGAATTAATTGAAGAAATGGCGAGAGATCGGGGCGATGACATGGATGAGTACGACCGAAGGGGAAACATAAAGTCTAAGGGTGAGTCAAGTGAAGTCCAATCCCTACGAGCACAAGTCGCCAAACTCACAGTTCTATTGGAGAATTCAAATGCGGTGACATCAATTCCACAAGACTCAAGCTACAATTACACCATGCAGACCCAAGAACAAGAGGTCGAGAATGTCAACTATGTGGCGAACAACCCCTACTCAAATACATACAATCCAGGTTGGCGTAATCACCCAAACTTTTCTTACAAAAACACCGGAAACACAGAAAATCTGGCCAATCAACCCCAAGCCCCAAGAATACTCCAAAGACCCCAACATTTTCAACCATACGAGCAACGCTATCAACCACAAGTAGCGCAACCCGTACTTGCACCGCAGCCGCAACCCAAAGATGAGCTTAAGGAATTGCTCCTAAGCATGCAGAAACAACTGTCTGCTGATATTAGACAAACAAACAACGAGATTCGAGGGATGAAGAATGATCAAGACGATATCCGCAAACAAGTCGAGGGAATCAACACACATCTGAAGCTCCTAGACAATCAAGTTGCCCAAATGGCGTCATCTTCATCAAGGCCCATGGGAACACTTCCTGGAAGACCTGAGCCTAACCCTCGGGAGCATTGTAATGTTGTTGAGCTAAGAAGCGGGAGAAAACTTGAAGATATTAAATCCAAGGAGAAACAAATCAATAAAGACGGAGGTAAAGACGATGTTGTCGATTCCGACCCTGACATCAAGGTGGCAAAAGAAGACATACAAGAGAAGTCATACATTCTACCATCACCATACAAGCCACACGTGCCTTTCCCTCAAAGGTTGAGAAAACGTGACGATGACAGTCAATTCGCAAAGTTTGCTGATATGCTGAAGAAAATGGAGGTAAACTTGCCTTTCACTGAAGTTATCCTCAAGATGCCATCCTATGCAAAATTCTTAAAAGATATATTATCGAAGAAAAGGACGATTCAAGAAGAGACCATCGCGCTAAACTCTGAATGTAGCGCAATTCTGAAGCATGAGCTACCCCAAAAGATGAAAGATCCTGGAAGCTTCTCGATCCCTTGCACCCTAGGTAATGTCTCAATTAAAAAGGCATTATGTGATCTTGGAGCTAGCGTGAGCCTTATGCCTCTGTCAATATGCAAAATGCTCAACATTGGAGAACTCAAACCGACGAGGATGACTCTACAACTGGCAGATCGCTCAATCAAATATCCCATTGGGATTCTTGAAGATGTCCCACTTAAGGTCGGGAATTTTTATGTCCCTGTCGATTTTGTGGTCATGGAAATGGATGAAGACTCAAATATTCCAATCATACTCGGACGCCCATTCTTGGCCACTGCTGGAGCAGTTATCAACGTAAAAGAGGGTCATTTGACATTGTCAATAGGAGAAGAAAAAGTAGAGTTCAAGCTCGCTCAATCGCTCAAACAACCCTCCGTGGATGATACGTGTTGTTACATCGACGTCCTTGAACAATTGGCAGACGAGATATTGGAAGAATTACGCGAGGTTGATCCCCTAGAAGTGGCCCTCATGGCAAGCAAAGTAGAGACATGCGTAGATCAAGAAGAGGTGAACGTATACTCCGAAATCCTTGACGAAGAAGCTACAATATGCTCTATGGAGACGCCTTGCCCCATACACAATGAAGTCGACGACATCAAATCACCACAACACGATGAGATTGTACCTAACAAGAATTTCAAATTGCGGTACCATGACAGAGCATATTGTAGCTTCTTCGTCAAGGATTTCGGAGTATACGTTCACCTCTTCTTGATCTACGCATGTCTCTACTTTGCTTGCCATGAGGGCCACTTCTAGGGGATCAACCTCGCGTAATTCTTCCAATATCTCGTCTGCCAATTGTTCAAGGACGTCGATGTAACAACACGTATCATCCACGGAGGGTTGTTTGAGCGATTGAGCGAGCTTGAACTCTACTTTTTCTTCTCCTATTGACAATGTCAAATGACCCTCTTTTACGTTGATATGTAACAACACGTATCATCCACGGAGGGTTGTTTGAGCGATTGAGCGAGCTTGAACTCTACTTTTTCTTCTCCTATTGACAATGTCAAATGACCCTCTTTTACGTTGATAACTGCTCCAGCAGTGGCCAAGAATGGGCGTCCGAGTATGATTGGAATATTTGAGTCTTCATCCATTTCCATGACCACAAAATGATGGAGGATGGATATAAACCCTCAATTGAGCACCAAAGACGTTTAAACCCGAATATGAAAGAAGTGGTTAAGAAAGAAATCTTGAAACTACTCGATGCTGGAATAATCTACCCTATCTCTGATAGTGAGTGGGTTAGTCCTGTTCAGGTAGTTCCAAAGAAAGGGGGAACAACTGTAGTCAAGAATGAACGAAATGAACTTATCCCGACTAGGATTGTAACTGGTTGGCGAATGTGCATTGATTACAGAAAACTTAACAAAGCCACGCGCAAAGACCATTTCCCCTTGCCCTTCATTGACCAAATGCTAGAAAGATTAGCAAAACACAAATACTTTTGCTTTCTAGATGGCTACTCAGGTTTCTTTCAAATTCCTATCCATCCTTCAGACCAAGAGAAAACCACATTCACTTGTCCCTACGGAACATTTGCCTATAGGCGTATGCCTTTTGGTTTATGTAACGCACCAGCCACATTTCAACGATGCATGATGTCTATATTCTCTGAGTTTATTGAGGACATCATGGAGGTATTCATGGACGATTTCTCTGTCTATGGTTCCTCCTTTGATGTGTGTTTAATGAATCTTGCTCGAGTCTTAGACAGGTGTGAACAGGTAAACTTGGTTTTGAATTGGGAAAAATGTCACTTCATGGTGCAAGAAGGAATCGTTCTGGGACACAAAATTTCTGAAAAAGGAATCGAGGTTGATCGGGCTAAAATCGAGGTGATTGAGCAAATGATACCCCCAACCAATGTCAAAGGCATCCGAAGCTTCCTAGGACATGCAGGATTCTACCGACGTTTCATCAAAGACTTTTCAAAAATTTCAAAACCTTTGACGGAGCTATTGGGGAAGGATATTCAATTTGTCTTTACAAAGCAATGTCATGAGGCGTTTGAGACTCTGAAGAAGTCATTGATCTCTCCACCGATCATTCAACCACCTGACTGGGGAAAGCCTTTCGAGCTGATGTGCGACGCAAGTGACTATGCCGTTGGAGCAGTCCTAGGTCAAAGAAAAGACAAGAAACTTCATGCGATATACTATGCAAGTCGAACCCTAGATGACGCACAAATCAACTACGCCACCACAGAGAAAGAATTACTTGCAATAGTTTTCGCATTTGAGAAGTTTCGATCATATTTGGTTGGATCAAAGGTGATTGTTTATACCGATCATGCTGCTCTACGGTATCTTCTCTCCAAGAAAGATGCAAAGCCACGGTTGATACGATGGATCCTATTGCTCCAAGAGTTTGATCTCGAGATTCGTGATAGGAGAGGAGCAGAAAATGGTGTAGCGGATCACCTCTCACGTCTTGAGTTCAAGGAGGACATACCTATTGATGATTCATTTCCAGACGACCATGTCATGTCTCTTGAGAACAGAAATGATGCACCATGGTATGCTGACTACGTCAACTATCTCGCATGCGGAATTTTACCCCCAGAGTTGGATTACAATAGAAGAAAAAGATTTCTGAATGATGTTCGTCATTATTTCTGGGAAGAACCATTCCTCTTTCGACGTGGAGTAGATGGTCTATTCCGACGATGCATCCCCGAAGACGAAATCCTTGATGTAATCAGGCACTGTCATTCATCAGATTATGCCGGCCATTTCGGAACCTCTAAAACGGCGACCAAGATATTACAGGCAGGATTTTATTGGCCGACGCTGTTCAAGGCTTGATTTCTCGGTTGGACACTTCAACTTGTCCGCTCGTCTGAGGGTGATAGGGTGTAGCAACCCTATGTTTGACTCCATATTTTCGCAAAAGTGCTTCAAAGGCTCGATTCACAAAGTGTGAGCCTCCGTCACTTATCACCACCCGTGGAATTCCAAAACGTGGGAAAATCGTTTTCTTGAATAACTTGATCACTATCTTGGAATCACATGTAGGACTAGCGATAGCCTCCACAAGTTCTGTGGAGGATTCGACGGTCATGCCATTTTTTTGCTCTTTCCTTGTAAATTTTTGCATTCTCGTATACGTCTAAACGTATCTCGTCAAGATGATGAAGTTGTAGAAGTCTCTTCTCTGTAGCACTCTTCAAGTCAAAGTTCAGCTCCTTTATGGCCCAATACGCTTTGTACTCCAACTCCACAGGTAAATGACAGGCTTTTCCATACACCATTTGAAATGGTGTCATCCCGATAGGAGTCTTGTAAGCCGTTCGGTAAGCCCATAATGCATCATCAAGCTTCAAGGACCAATCTTTTCTTGATTTTGAAGTGGTTTTCTCCAGAATGGCCTTGATTTCTCGGTTGGACACTTCAACTTGTCCGCTCGTCTGAGGGTGATAGGGTGTAGCAACCCTATGTTTGACTCCATATTTTCGCAAAAGTGCTTCAAAGGCTCGATTCACAAAGTGTGAGCCTCCGTCACTTATCACCACCCGTGGAATTCCAAAACGTGGGAAAATCGTTTTCTTGAATAACTTGATCACTATCTTGGAATCACATGTAGGACTAGCGATAGCCTCCACCCATTTTGTCACATAGTCGACAGCAACAAGTATGTATTGATTTCCACAGGATGATGGGAATGGTCCCATAAAATCGATGCCCCATACATCGAATGGTTCGACTTCAAGGATGTATCTTTGTGGCATTTCATGTCGTCTTCCAATGTTTCCCGTCCTTTGGCATGTGTCACACGAGGAAACAAATTTATGAACATCCTTGAACAGCGTCGGCCAATAAAATCCTGCATGTAATATCTTGGTCGCCGTTTTAGAGGTTCCGAAATGGCCGGCATAATCTGATGAATGACAGTGCCTGATTACGTCAAGGATTTCGTCTTCGGGGATGCATCGTCGGAATAGACCATCTACTCCACGTCGAAAGAGGAATGGTTCTTCCCAGAAATAATGACGAACATCATTCAGAAATCTTTTTCTTCTATTGTAATCCAACTCTGGGGGTAAAATTCCGCATGCGAGATAGTTGACGTAGTCAGCATACCATGGTGCATCATTTCTGTTCTCAAGAGACATGACATGGTCGAACAAATATGACTCAAATGATTTTGAACTTAAACTTCATATAAGCCAGTCTTTACATGTTTTAGACGATTGGGTAAATTGTCGGTTAAATCGAATCGATGACTAACCTTCATTGGATTTTTGGTCTTGATTATCGGAAATAAATTGCATTAGATTTCAAAGACAAGATATCGAACCAAGTATTAGCACTTCTTTTAAGAACTGTTCCTCATTCAAGGGAATATGAGGCCCGCAAGACCTACTCGTTGCTCGCACCTTTTTATTCCACTCTCATTCTTGAGGACGAGTAGGCAACCGAGCGAGTAGTGCGGGGGTGGCGACAATCATCACGTTGCGAAAGGTAAAACTCGGTTCATTCCCAAAAACATGATTTTTCCTTATAGACCTCATATTATTTGCTTACATATACAAATGGAAAAAGGAAAAGAAAAGCCAAGTTCTGAAAAACTTGAAAAAAAAGAGAAAACTGAAAAAAATAACAAAAAAAAAAAGAGAAAAAAAAAGAGATTTTATATATTCTTGGCACACCGATTGAAAAAAAAAAAAAAATTTTACTTCATTCCATTCCACATATCTTCCCGATTCAGCCATCTTCAAAATAAACACTTGGCATACACCAAACCGTCTTGGACCAAAATATTCCCTAGAACAGCAGGCTATAAAGTTTGGAAGTCCGCTTGGTAAGATCATAATTTATCTTGTCTTGATTTTCTAATGTGATACAATTCCTTTGGAAAAGGTCGAAATCCTATAAAGGTATGGAAATCGAATTGTAGTCAACTGATTTTCCCATGGTGAATATGATATTTAAGCGTATCAAAGTCTTTTGAGTCATTGGTCAAATTTTTCTCATTATGCATTCATGCCATTTGCCCGAGGACGAGCAAAACACTAAGTCTGGGGGAATTTGATCGCACGAATCTTGTCGTATTAACTTGCATATAATTATCATGTTATTCTCATGCTTTCATATTTAGATTAGGAATATTTTGGTTTGTTTTTGGTGTGTTTCATATTTTGTAGGTGACAAAAATTATTTTGGAAACATTTGGCAAAAATGGAACAAAAATGGAGCAAACTCGGTTTCATGGGCAGTTTTGACAGTTTGGACGAATTTGACTATAACTTTCTTATCTGAAGTCCAAATGACGTGATTCCAATTTTAAAAGATCATCAACTCATTGTAGTTATGATCTGGAAAAGTTGCGATCGAAAAGAGAAAGCATGAATCGTGGCCGAAAGTTGCAAGTCACGCTTCGGATCCAGAAAAGCAAAATGAGAAGGGTGTACTATCTCCTCCATAACTTTCGATTGGGAGCTCGGATTGCTTCGCCGTTTGTTTCACAGTAAACTAGACATCAAGAGCTTTCCATAGACACCAAGATCGTAATTTTTGGTGGAGATTTGGCCCTTCATCGAGCAGTTACAATCTGAGCAAAATTCTGGTTGCTGACATCATGGCTTACATCATGGAGACAACTCACCTAACATGCCACTACGAATTTCATCATTTCATCTACTTTTGCCCTTCAGAAACTCCTATAAATAGACCCTTAATCTGCTCTCATTGATCACACAACAACAAGAAACACAAAAACAAAGAGTAGAAGAAGATTTGGAGGCTTGG